GCTGCAGCTGCGCCTGCACCTGCGGGGATAGGGATTGGTCACGCGTGTCTCTATGTGTGTGTGTGTCCCCCCCCGAGCGCACACGCGTGCACACACACACGCCCCAAAGCAGCCACTTGCCTGCTGGAAGGGCATCCTCAGCGCACCCACGTTCACGTACGGGGCCACCCGGCAAGCTTCGAACTGGCTGGCGGCACCGATCAGCACCCCTGGGGAAGGCAGCGGGGGAGGTCAGCGCGGGAGAAGCCTCCCACGCGTGTCCGAACCGCAGCCCGCATCACCACCACCACCCCCCTCCCTGCCCTCCTTCCTCCCACGCTACCTTTGTGGAGTTGGTTTTCCTGCTTTCGGCATTTGGCTCTGCGGTTCTGGAACCAGACCTGCGGGGACAGGAGGGGAGAAAAGGGGACACACACACACACACACACACACACAGAGACACGCGTGTCACGGTCGCCCTGCCACCGCGAAGCGACAGAAAACCAACAACACAACAAAGCAGGAATCATAAACCCACCGAGGATGATAAAAACGAACAAACAAATAAAAAGAACAGACAAAGAAAACCCGGCTGGGCTCCCTCCTCCCGGGCAGCCCCCGCTCATAAGCTCCGAAACGCAAAGGGAAACGAGGGGGAAAAGAGTCAAAATACCCAGAAAAACGGGCGGTTGCAGATGCTCGTGGCAGAGGAACCCCTGCCTGCAGCCCCCGCTTCATCTTTCCACACCAGAGTCCCAAAAGACCCCACTGGCCCCCTGATATGTGATACGAACTGGCGATAATGGGTTGAGATGTTTGCACCGTCAGGCCTGAGAAGACCGTGCTCATTAAGAAATAAATTAATTAGCTTTATCTTAAGGAAAAACTAAACACCGAAGGGTTTAAAGGACTTTTTTTTGGGGGGGGGAGGGTGGCAAATACTACCATAAAAGCTTCGCTACAAAGAAGTTTAGCATTTCTCTGCTCCTCCGCGCACTGAAGTGCAGCACAGGAGCCGAATAATTATCTCATTATCATGATAATCTCATTTGCCTCCCCAGAAAAGACCGCGCGTTACACAAGAACATACTTTTAATTTTGGACTCGGAATCTTTTGAAATCAATTTCCCCAATGAAGTTTCTGTTCACTCAAGAGAGGAGAGGGGAGGAAGGAGTTTCTGGAAACGTTCCTGTCTCCAGGCAGACCCCCCTGCACCGCATCTCGGAAGCCACAACCACCCAGGAATCCTCTCCCCGCGGCCAAAGGAAAAATGAAATTAAACAAAAAAATAATCTTTTTATTGAGGTTTGACTCGAAGGGACGAATATCAAGGCGAATTTCCCCCGCCCTGTCATTTATTCAGCCCAGGGAAACCCGCCCAGCAGCCGCGCTCGCCCTCAGCCTGCCCGGGAAAACACACGTCCCAGAATTTACAGATCAGTGCAGATGCCAGGCAAAATATTACGGCAAAGCCTCTTCCGGAACGATTTCGAGGGAACGGGGGTTTAATATACGTGAATGTCCCGAAGTTATTCCGCAGCCTGCGATTTGGCAGCGCGGATCCTGCGCGGCCGCGCTCTTTGTGGAGCCAAGAGCCCGCAGAAGCTGCAGCATCTCCCTTCCTTCCCTTCCTTCCCTTCCTTCCCTTCCCTTCCTTCCCTTCCCTTCCCAGGGCCCAGCAACTTTGTTTGCTCTGGGTTTGTTCAGATTTGATGGGCGCAAATAAGGATTAAAAACGGGGAAGCGGGAAAACGAAGGAGTTTTGGCTTTTGTTGTTTGGGTTTGTTGTGGTGGTGGGTTTGTTGGGGGTTTTTTTTGTGGGTCAGGCTGTGATGACAAAAGCTGCTCGTTGTGAGTTCTTTTCGGTTGGATGTCAGGGCTCGGTTTCTGCCCTGAGCCCTGTCCCGAGCTGCAGGGAAAGCCCCCAAGGGTTGCGCGCATGGCTCGGTGCAGATGGTGGACCAAGAGCACAAAGATTGAGGGGGAGTATCTGTTACAGCAAGACTTTCTAACAGCTGCAGATGTTAGGGGCCTAAAACCGCTCCATGTGTTCAAACAGATAATGACCATCATTTTCTCTTCTTTTATTATTAGAACGGAAATACACCGGAGCAGCTACATTTGTTCTCGTTTGAGGAGCTGCCTTCCCCCCTAAGCAGGCAGGCAGAGCCCGGACCCTTCCTCGCTCTTCACCTCAGCCCGACAAAACTCGCAGAAACCAGCCCAGGAACAGATTTATAAAATAAAAATAAATAAGAAAAACAACTTGAGGAGGGCAGCCCGAGGTTAAAAGCGCAGGTTAAAGCAAAGGAAGCAAGGCTCCTCGGTGAGGGAGAAGGCTTAAAATAGCCGGGTTTTATCCTAGACTTTTGTATTTCATCAATCCGAACAAAGCCGCTCTGTGCTCTCCGCTGTTTTCCTGCCTCTTCCCTCTAGGTTTAAGAACTACGAGAAACGGACTGTAAATTTGGATTCTTCCCCCCCTCACACACACACACACTTAGCGGTTCCTAATTCGGTTTATGGTCACTACATCTATAAAGTTAATTGGTCGGCCCGCCCGGGGAGCCCCGCGACCGGAGAGGGACCCGCAACCCCCGCCGACCGAACAGCAACGAAAAGACACGCAGAAATGAAATAAAACGCGGCACAGCGAGGGGCAGGGGGACTTGCAGAGAGCCCGAACCACAAGAAAGCCCGCGGAGGCGATATTACACATTTTTCTTGGGTGCATTTCGGCGCGGGGAGCCCTCTGCTCTCCCTGCCAGCCCGTGTCGGGCGCGGGCCCCCGCGGGGGCCCCGCGCCGG